GACATATTTTCATCAGATATATAATTATAGGTTTTAAGACCTGGGCATTAACTAGTGTTTATTTTTGTGGTTGTTGATAAATGTCAGTATTGTCTTTAGAAAACTTATATGTGTGTACAGAATATTTATATGGCTATAAAATTTAGTCATATACCAGTAAAGAATCTATTGATTTATTTTCAATGCACATTTCATTTGCATGTACTTTTCCTAAAAAAATTTACATATTGTCACCTTAGTGCAGTAACGTAATAAGTTCTTCTAAATTCAATAGGAGTTAATCAGTTATTGCACTAAGATGACAAATTATATTGACTTAATAAATTATGTATTGAAGGATTTTTACTGTATATATAAACTTTATTCTGTTTAACTAGAAATGATATAAAAACTTGTCAAGAGTTTGAATAAATCATTTCATTATAGACACAAGACATGTACAAACCTATAGTCAGTGTACTTGTATGTTTTTCTAATATATATATAAGTATCTGAAGAAAAATGCTTGAAGCTTTTGGGTATAAACATGCACATTGAGCCTTCTTTTTTGCCATATATTTTTCAGGCACACGTTTTTTTTATATAAAACCGTATAAAATAAACATAATGACTCAATATTTTAAGACATATAATGAAATGATTAAAGTGTAATTGAAGAAATATAAATTTATTGTAGTAAATGTATGTCTTTGAACAAATTCTTGTTTAAGTTTTTAGGAGAATCCACTTTGTCTTAACTATAAATCATGATTTTCTCTGTTTCCTGAACAGTCATGAATTTAACTAATTAACTGAGTTTTATTTGATGAAAGAGTTGTAAATGTAATTATTAGGACAAATTTTTATGTTAGTTTTTGGGGAAAAAAAATTTTATTCTTGAAGATAAGTCATGATTTTATGACATTTCCTGAACTGTATAAAATTGAACAATTGACTCAGTTATATTTGATGAAAGAGCTGTAAGTAACTGAATATATATATATGTCTTTGAGAGAATGCATGCAGTATCTATTAGTCTATTTTATAAGAAATATAAGGCAGTATATTTTTAAAAAGTAAGTTTAACTTTAAGCCTCAAGCAAACATTTGAAAGAAAATTTTGCACATTTTTAAGGATTAGGGTATCAAAGATATTTTTGAAATTTAAAATGGTTGTGAAAGCTTATCAGTAATAGATTGCACAGAAAATTGCAGGAGTTTTAAGTAACATTTTCATGTTCTAATAACATGTAAATGAAAATTTGTGAAAATGAAGTTGTTGGAGAATTCTGTCTTCAACATAAGTTTGTATATCTGCATGATGTTGATAACTAAGGCTATTCTTGGTGAAAATTATCACATTATCACAGTATTGGTGATAATATGTGGTACTTTGAGTGATAATTTATGACATTTTGTTAATTTATGATACTGTGATAATTTATGACAATGTGATACTTTATAACACTGATTATTTATGACACTGTGATAATGTATGACAATGTGATAATTTATGACACTGATAATTTATGACACTGTTATAAAGTATGACACTGTGATAATTTATGACACTGTGATAATTCATGACACTGTGATAATTTATAACACTGTGATAAAGTATGACACTGTGATTATTTATGACACTGTGATTATTTATGATACTTTGATTAAGTATGACACTGTGATAATTCATGACACTGTGATCATTTATGACTTTGAGATCATTTATGACACTGATAATTTATGACACAGTTGGGGATGATTTATGACATTTTACACACTCATATGCAAATCTTGTTGGAAAAATGTGATGATATTCTATACTTTTGTTGGTATAAATGTACATTTAAGATGATAGTATATGACAACAAAGTGACATGTGACAATTAAGTGATTGTGTGTGACATTTAAGTGACATATGACATGTTATTGACTGTATGTGACATTAAATTGGCATTTTATTGATAGAATTTTACATTTAGGTGACATTTAGTAATAATATTTGACATATTGGTGATTTTATATGATTTTTTGAGTGACATATGACATTTTGGTGATATTATATGACATTTTAGTAACAATATGTGACATTTTAGTGATTATGTGATATTTCAGTGATATAATGTGACATTTAATTGATAGTATGTGACATTTTAGTGATACTGATACTCCTTGTAATTATAATAACCTGAAATCTTTGTTGAAATATGTGATATTATTCCTTATGATATGTGACACTATCTTTGGCAGTATATGACACCATTGGTGAATATTATGTGACACTTTGAGTGATAGTGTTAAGCCCCTTTGACACTGTCCCCGTAATGGCGACGGTATAGATATGGTGTCTTAATCCCCTGAACCGGGATGTTCCGTTGTGTTTTTCTAAATAAATTGCGTTTACAAATTCCAAACAGAGTCCAGGTGGATTCCTGGTTCAGTACCCGATATAGCACCGGATATATACGGTAAGTGCCGATGCTAACCTGGTGAATTCCGGGTTGATCTGGGTGGAGACAGACCTGACTAAACACAGTTTCATCACGGTCCATCACGACCACCGCTGATTTCACCACGGTCAAGCTTCTGGTGATGCCGGTACTGTCCCGGTGACCCTCTGGTAATGCGCCTATGCTTCCCGGTTCAAGTTTATGAGAATAAAACTGCATGACCATGTTGACATTTGGTAAGAAAGATAAAGTCTTGTGCCTGTGTATGATGTAATTATATATCAAAAGGATATTAGGATATTAAATGGGACTTTTGTCTGTGTTTGATGTTATAATATATCAAAAGGATATTAGGATATTAAATGGGACTTTTGTCTTTGTTTGATGTAATAATATATCAAAAAGGATATCAAATGGGACTTGTGTCTGTGTTTGATGTAAATATATATCAAAAGGATATTAAATGGGACTTGTGTCTGTGTATGATGTAAATATATATCAAATTGATATCAAGCTATATGTGATAGAGTGTTAGAGGATAAAAAAATCAAAATTTGGATATTGAAGAAGGAAAGATGAATGTGGATCAGGCTGGGACAAGAAATCAATGTTTGAGTTGTGAAACTGACATGTATTATGACATGTCTATGTTGTATATCCATGAAATAAAAGAAATCTATGACAAAATCATATATGATTATGAATTTAATATGACATCAAAGAATTTGAGGTTTGAATATCGGTGTTAGTAAGGGATTGTCATTATATTATTTATAGATATAAGCTGAGATATCTAGGATAATGGAAACAGGTATTGGTTCAGGGCAAATCTTTAATGTCGTTAGAAATTTAAATGATATTAACACAGACAAGATGGATATCATTATAAGAATAATATCGGTATAGTAAAAGTTTGAAAACAGTATCAATGGATGAAGAGAGGACATTGTGAATATAGATATAGAAATAGAATGTAATAAAAGATATCAATACAGAAAAGATTACAAAAGATAAATATTGCGTATTAAAATGAATTCTAGAACCAGAATGAGATATTCCCAGTCAACGAGTAGTGGAATTCTTCCTCTATCTCAGCATAACACACAGGTATGTTTAATAGATTCACCCTTTCATCAATAATTTAGTGGAATATACTTGCCCAGATTTAAATTTGGAAGTCTCATATATTATTTCTATGATTTCAATAATAGAAAGTCAAAATTTAGTGCCTGACTGTATTAAAGTCTTGAGTCTGGTCAGACTGTATGGGTGTAAATATTGAAGTGGCTCTATAATGGAAGCGTAAGCCTTTTATTGTCACAAGAGCTTGTTCAGTTAAAATATAGGAGCCCCTTGTGGTTTAGGGGTTGCTATTAAATTGGTTGAGACATTACAATTACAGCCACTGTTTATACTAAGTTATACTGAGTTAAAATATAGGAGCCCCTTGTGGTTTAGGGGTTGCTATTAAATTGGTTGAGACATTACAATTACAGCCACTGTTACTGAGTTAAAATATAGGAGCCCCTTGTGGTTTAGGGGTTGCTATTAAATTGGTTGAGACATTACAATTACAGCCACTGTTACTGAGTTAAAATATAGGAGCCCGTTGTGGTTTAGGGGTTGCTATTAAATTGGTTGAGACATTAGAATTACAGCCACTGTTACTGAGTTAAAATATAGGAGCCCCTTGTGGTTTAGGGGTTGCTATTAAATTGGTTGAGACATTACAATTACAGCCACTGTTACTGAGTTAAAATATAGGAGCCCGTTGTGGTTTAGGGGTTGCTATTACATTGGTTGAGATATTACAATTACAGCCACTGTTTATCCTTGCTTGATGGTATCAGGCAACTAAATATATTCATCTAACTCGAATCTATGCATCTCTTAGCTCAGCAAACACACCAAACTTTATTTCTATAAAAAAACATTGACCTTCTCAGGTGAAGTCTTAGAATTTTTATGCCCCCGCCATATAATGGCCGGGGCATATAGTGTTACCCTGTTCCGTCATTCTGTCATCATCAGTTTCTGTTCATTTTCTTAGTAACGGTTGCACACATTCATCATTGATATGTCATTAGAAAATACAGGTCAAGTTCGATTTTGGTCATGGTTCGATGTTTTTGGCAGAGTTATGCCCCTTTTTCTTTGAAACTTATATGAAATTTTCAATTTCCGTTCATTATCTTCACAACTGTATTACACATTCAACTCCAACCTGACATATGGATACATCAAAGGAATGCGCAGGTCAAGTTCGAATTTGGTCATGGTTTGATGATTTTTTTCAGTTTCCGTTGTTATCTCCTCTAGGGTATTACATATTCAACTCAAATTTGACATATGGATATGCCAAAGAAATGGGCTAAGTTCGAATTTTGTCATGGTTCGATGAGTTTTGGCAGAGTTATGCCCCTTTAACTTTGAAAGAAAAGGAAATTTTCAGTTCCTATTCAATATCTCCCCAACAGTTGTACATATTCAACTCAAATTTAAGATATGGATATGTCGTAAGAATGCACTGGTTTAGTTTGAATTTGGTCATGGTTTGAATAGAAGTCTATACAGTTTTATTTGTTTATTACATATTTTATAACAGTATATGATTATAGATACAAAATTATGTCACATATTAGTTGCTAATTCATATGAAAGTATAACTGAAAGACCTTCAATGTGTAGTGAGAAGTTAAATATTGTTACATCCACTTTGATTATGTTATTTGAAACTAACAAGTTACAGAAAGAATGGTGAAAGGCATATATTTTAACATCTGATTCAGTTTGATACAAACACACAGTATAATTATGATCATTGAAAACTTAATTTGTAACACTGTCACTGTTTTTTGACCCCTTATTATTGGCTAGCCAATAAGCCAGAAAGGAGCTTACATATATGGAATTTTGCTACATTGTTTCTTGACCTTAGTTGAAGAGAAAGCAGGTAGCAATTTAATGCCTGTTGAGGTCTGTTTTCTTGTTCCATACATTGTCCTAAGATGTTGAGAGCTGTTTCTCTATGTCCAAGGTTTTTATCAGTTACTATGGTTCTTATAAGTTTACTAAGTGCTTGTTGTTGATCTTGATGTCTTTGAAGATGACTGTAGATCTTATATTGTAGGAAGTACAGGAAAGGTAGAGAATCAACTACAGCCCAGTCCATCCAAAAGTCTCTATACCGAATTCTGTGTATCATGTAATCTTGTGTAGATCTGAACATTTCATATTGTAGTTCATGAGGAATACAGTTGATCTCTTTCTGTATGAATGTGACACAAAATGCTGTTATATGTTTAATACAGTCCTCACTTTGTTCACCACATATTCTCATGATTTCTGTTGTTACTGCTGGTGGAGGCATATCCCGGCATCTACAGATAGTAAAAACAGGATAAGAGTAATATTGTTGTTCAGTGTGTCTCAGAATTAGTTCAGCTTTCTCCATATCTCCTGTACAGTAGAACACTGAAGCCAATTTAAGTCTGCTAGATGAGATATCTGAGTTTAAACCAGCTGATAACCAAACCAATGCTTGAGGTGACACTTGATTATTTTCACTAATACTAGATGATGCCAGGATAGATCCATATGTGGTAAAAAGAAAAGGTGCTAGAAACTTGAATGCAGCCTGTTCTAATCTATTACCATTAACATTGAAAGTAATTAGTTTACCTATACAATGCTTCATCGTTCTAATGTTTTTTGTGTGTAAATGTCTTAAAAGAAGCTTTTGAGCCCCCTTTACAGAGAATGCTGTGCCTAAATATTCAAAGTACATATAAAATTCATGTATTGCAAGAGAAGATTGATAATAATATGCTCCGTGTGGTACCATGTTCAGTTTAACTTGCAATCTATAGCCAAGATCATCAATATCAATTCTAAGTAACATTTGTCTGTCATTCTGTAAAAAATCACTTATATTTTTTGAAAGTTCATGTTTTTTTTCAGCTGTAAATTGCCCTGCCATCAAATTGTTTTCTCGGATAATGAAATGTGAACAATGGTCATTCTGTACACAGCTATGTAATTCTAATAAGCAGTATGTTAAGCATATAAATAAATTGTTCTCTTTCCATATACTTGACTCTGTGTTTTCTATACAGTGTAATAGAACTGTTTTACACATGAAGCTTGATATGTTGATTTCCCCTTGAGGATTAAGGAAGGATTTAAGAATCATTTTCAATAATACATAGCACCTTATTTGTGTTATATTTAGATTAAGTATAAGGCACCTTTCTGCCAATGATGTAGATATTCTCCATTCCAGTTCAGGATATTCACTGACCTTACTTCCAGTTGCAACAACAAAACACCTAGTACTGGCTGCATATCTTCTCATGTCTAGTGTTGGCCATCTACCTATACCTTGTCTATCTAACCAACCTGATGCTGATTGAGGCCATGATTTACAAGGAAAAGCTGGCACAGTGTCTATATCACAGAATCCATCCTGTCCTTGTCTAGCATTTGATGGTCCATGATCTACAGCATCCTGAATGACACCATTATATAATGTGTTTTTTAACAATATTCTTCCACTTCTATCATTTATATAGTGTTCATTAGGAATGACTGTAACAGGGAGAGGTATATCATGTCGGAGCAGTTGTAAGAAACAATAACCAGGTGTAGTGTTCTCATCCTGTATCATGAGATAGTTTTCCTTGCCATGTTCCCACTCTGACCAGTCTTGTATTATATTGTACTCATGAATACAGTGAAGTATATCCATATCTGAATGAAGTCCTATAGTAGTTGTACCTTCCCTCTGACTACCTAGATAATATACAGTCAAGTTTGTATCAGCTAACTTGTGAGTGATATTCATCATAGTCTCCTCCAGCATGAGACATCTTCTTCTTCTCATTACCATTCTTTCATTGACACCAATGTCATCTAAAACCTCTGATAACATCAATGATAGGTTTTCTCTGTAGTCATGTTCTTGAAACATTCTGTAATATATAATAAATAAAAGGAAAAATTGTTGTAGTCACTCATTAAATTTATTTTTTCACATACTTTTACTTGTTTGTTATCTGCCCTGTGTGGAAAAATAAGTATTGATATTGTGAAAATTTTAGGTAGATATCAATTAATAATAATAATAATAATAATAATAATAATAATAATAATGAAAAAATGGTATTGTAAAGATTTGTTCCTTTTATCTACATGTATTTTTTTTTGATATTCTCCAAACTTAAATATTTGAATATTTATTTTTTAAATTTTATTGATGCAAATTTTTGCGAAAGGTTTCTGTAATGGTGGATTTTCTTCCACTATGTTTTGACTTAAAACTTTACTACTATAAATTCATAAAAAAACGTTATTTTTTTCCAAAAAGAAAAGAAAAGAAAAACAATTATAAAAGATATATAACTCACTTTTAATGCTTTACTAATAGTAAATGTAATTATGTCCCTTTCAATATTGTAAGCTTTCCAATGCTACATTTATGATAATTATTTAAGGCTTTGATACATCAATATATCGGTTTATAAGTTTGATCAATTTTCAGTGTTTTATGTTTTTGAAAATTAACATTATATTAAATTGTAACTTGACTTTGAAGATTCTTGAATCAAACAGAAACTAAATTGATAATATAATATTGATATTGCATCCAATAATTTCTTAAATAAAGTATTTACTCAAATGTGAAATTGTGTGTTTAAAGATAATTTTGAACTTACTTTTAAAGTTGTATTTGACAGTATCAGTATGACTTTGTCTTGAAAATAATTGAAAAAAAAAATTGTGTTGACTTTCTGTTTGACAAAGCTGGAAATTCCTCTTTTGGTTTTAAATGAAAATATGGAAGGGAAATAACTCACTTCCTCTTCCTGTTGTTATAAAATTTAATTTGATTATTTCCCCTGTTATTTATTATTTTTTGCTATAATTTCAAGAGAAAATTATATACTAGGTATATAAAATAATTATATGGCTATAACTCTTCAGATATCTTTTAAGAATCTGGTGATTTATTTTGATTGTACATTAATTTACATACAATATTCTTTAAAAAACATGTCTTAATAAATTCTGTATTGAAATTTTTTACTGTATATATTATAAACTTTATTCTGTATCACTATAACGTAATAAGTTCTTCTTAAATTCAATAGGAGTTTATCAGTTATTGCACTAAGATGACAAATTATGTTGTCGTAGTAAATTATGTATTGAAGGATTTTAACTGTATATATAAACTTTATTCTGTTTCGCTATAAATGATACAAAAACTTGTCAAGAGTTTGAATACAATAGACACAAGACATATACAAACCTATAGTCAGTGTACTTGTATGTTTTTCTAAAGTGTATATAAATATCTGAAGAAAAACACTTAAACCTTTTGGTTATAATTGGAAAATTAAACGAGACTTACCTAGTAAGGTGAAGTTTAGTTGAAATTTCATCGACTGCAAACTCCTTAAGGGCTCACACAGAGAGAAGACGCAGCTAGTAGCAAGGCTTATCAGTCTTTAGAGAGAGGACATGGTACTAATGCCTAGTACCATGTCCAATGTGTAATTATGAAGGAACATAATATAGGAAGTGGGTGGGCGGGTGTGTGAGCCCTTAAGGAGTTTGCAGTCGATGAAATTTCAACTAAACTTCACCTTACTAGGTAAGTCTCGTTTAATTTTCCAATTTCATCTCCTGCATAACTCCTTAATGGGCCCCACAGAGATTTTAGAGATGTTTCTTCGTAATTAAAGGGATATATCAAAGAGACCAGGTTATTCAGTTGAGTATTGTATTATAATGACATAAAGCTATGTTATACAGTATAATGTTATCCAGTGTTAATTATGGCATATTAATTTATCTTATGAGAGTATCACAGTCATTATGAAATTGTTTCAAAGTATTTCCAATAATTGAATATCTCACTTGTCGACAGTGTCAGTTTAGTTGTTGAATTTTAAAGTTTCATGACCGCATCTTGGATACTTTTTTGGTCTGGTAAAGGTTTTTTGTAATATTTTTCAAATGTTTTGGCATTAGTCCATCCAGCTGTCTTTATAATTGTTTGTAAGGGAATCCCATGCAAACTTGCTTTTGATGTTGATGCTGCTCTTGTGCTGTGTGGACCAAAACTTTTATCGATGCCTGCATTTGACATGGTCAGCTTGATCCATCTGGCCACTGTACTTTTAGAAACAGCTTTAAATGGTTTTATTGTACTTATTAACAGTTCTTTCCCATTACGCAAGTTTTCAGTTCTTTTAAGGTATTGTTTTAAAGTGTTAACTATGCACAGATTTTTATTACTTTTATATGGTTTTAATGATATCGTTTCTTGATGATATCCAGGTCTTGACTGTTTTAGAAGATGATTTTGATGTATGAAAATAATGTCATTTGAAATATTTATATCATCTAATTCAATAAGATGAAGCGATTGGCATCTCTGAGCTGTACATAAAAGGTAAAGCATACATAATTTGCACGAAAGTTGTAACAATGTTATATTGGTATTGTCCAAAGTTTGAAGGAAGTTTAGTACTGTTTTCGTATCCCATGTAGTAGTATATTTTGCCAATGCAGGCCGCTCATTGAAAGCACCTTTCATGAAACGGGTAATTTCTTCAAATTTTGTAATATCGATATCACCACAAATTCGTAAAAATGAACTTAGTGCAGATCGTGCAACACCAAGTGATCTGTATTGAAGTCCGGTATGAAACAAGTTTGACAGATATTGAAGGACTTCATTTATGGAAGGCTTAAAGGGGTTAATTTCACTCCCACAAAATTGTATCCATTTTGATATATAGGTGCTGTATTGTCGTTTTGTGCTATTTCGCCATGACTTGAGAATAATGTCTTGGGCTTCTTTGGGTATTCCCCTTTCTTTGAGGACTGACCGGATACTCGAAAAAGCCCAAGTTTCATCTTTTTCAGTGGATGTTTCCTTTCTGGTTTGTGTGGTAAATATAGACACTTTTGTGGATTTGGCAGGTTGTAACATGTCCCCTGTAGTAGTTGAAGTAGACTGGGCCACCATGTTTGTGTTGGCCAGATTGGAGCCACTATGACAGCCTCTGTTTTGTCTTCGTCTATCTTTTGCAGTATACGTGGTAGAAGGCTGAAAGGGGGGAACATATAATAAAATTCATCAGTCCATGTTAACGAAAATGCATCAATTGCAATTGCATTTGGTTCTGGACGGCGGGAGACAAATCTCGGTAATTTGTAGTTTAACCTTGAAGCAAACAAGTCAACAGACAACCCTGGGTAAATCTTTGTAATCTTCGTGAAAACATTTGAGTATAGTGACCATTCTAAGTCTTCATTACAAACCCGCGATTCCTTGTCAGCCTCAACATTATTTTTTCCCGGGATATGGGCAGCTTTGAGGTGGATTTTCCTGTCTAAGCACCAGAACCAAATTTCCCTAGCTAGGGTATTGAGTTCCGTTTTCTTCCCCCCAAATTTATTGATATAGGCGCAACTGGTTGTGTTGTCCATAAAGATCTTAACATACTGCCCATAAATGGATTGGCAGAAAGACTGTAAAGTTAACTGACAAGCTTTGAGTTCTAGAATATTTATATGTAATGTTTTTTCTTTGGGAGACCACATCCCTCCAGCCTTTCTGCCATCATTTTGATTATGTGCCCCCCAGCCTTTTCCCGATGCATCTGAGAATAGAGTTATGGAAGGGGTCCCATTTGAGATTTGTCTGAAACTTAGTGGTAGGTTTATTATCCACCACTCAATGTCTGCATGTATTACTTTGGGAATGTTCATAAAACTATTATAGTTACCTTTGTGTATTTTTAGCATATTATCTTTGACCTGTTCTAGTGGTTTATAGAATAATGGGGCATATTCAACCCCAGGTTCAGCTGCCACTAGTTTCCCTATAAGCTGGGCAAAGTCCCGAATAGTAACTCGTGCTTTCGCCAATAAACTTTGACAAAGGTGTATTGTTTCGGTTACCTTTTCAGGGGTAAGCCTTACAGTCATTGTGACTGAGCAGAGAACAAACCCCAAGAAAACGATTTGTTGGCATGGTGTCAATATTGATTTTTCAGGGTGTACTGTCAACCCTAGGGAATCCATGAGTTTGACTGTATCCTTAATATTATTTAGACATGAATGATAAGAACTGCCTTGTAGACACGAGTCATCTATATATGCAGTGCTTATGTGACCTAATGCTCGCAAGTGTGCGAAAACGGGCTTCATGATTTTTGTAAATACTCTTGGAGATGTGGTTAGCCCCATTACTAAGACTTTGAATTGATATTTTTGGTTATTGTGCCAGAATCTAAAATATTTACGGTCTGCCTTATGAATTGGAACTGAGTAAAATGCTTCAGAAATGTCAACCGATCCAAAGAAACAATTCTTGCGCATGTTATTTATAGCGGATTGTAATGTTTCCATTTTAAAATGAATATTAGTCATGTGGTTTTCATTGAATGTTTTCAGATTAAGAATAACTCTTACTTTACCATCTTTTTTAGGTCTTATAAAAATGTTGGAGATATATTCATTTTCTTCTGATTTATCTACAGGTTCAATAATTTTGCATTTGATGAACCTGTCAATTTCATTGTTTATTTTTAACTGTTCTTCTGAAGAAAATGTGAGAGGTTTTGGAATAAAATTTTGTATTGGATCATTTGCAAGTTCTATTTTATACCCATGGATAGTGTCTAATATCCATTTGTCATGAGTGACTTTATACCAGTTTTTGCTATGTTGTTTTGTCTTCCCCGCTATAAAATTATTTGGAGTGTTTGTTAACTGTAAAGTTAGTGTGTCCCTTCCTGTACCTACGTTTTTTACTTCCGGTTGTTCTTTTGTGGCCCAAATCTTTTCTTCTGATGGTCCACTCGTTTGTTTTGGAAGGCATTGCGGTGGGGGGCACTCCTTTGGTTCTGATGATTGTAAGGACGATAACCCATCTTCGAGCCCCCCGTTTCGATAAAAAAGGCCTGCTTGTTGTGTGCGAAAGGTTTCCAAGTTTTACCTTTGTCGTCTTGAGTTTCTTTAATGTTTCCTGGAGATTGTCACCAAAGAGTTGTGTCGCTGAAGGCTCAATATCACATATAGCCTTAAACTGTGGCTGAATATCTCGGCGAATGCGTTCTCCTCGAGAGGTATTTGTTGCCTTAAACGTAAGACACAGTATTTTGAAAGTGTCCATCAGACAATTTGTTATGTCCTCCTGGCTACCCTTTGTTTTCAAAAGGTCCAGTGCTCTGAGAATTGGTGTTAACGCTAGCCCATAATTTCCAGTTACTTTTTGTAGAAGAAAGTCTGCCTGTTTTGTATTCGGCTGAAGTTGTCTCCAGACGACCTCCTCTACTGTAGGAACTTGAAGATTTTCTACATTTTTGGGTCGTTTGTACTTTTCCCTGAATTCTTTGATTTTTTCTGCATCTTTTTTGTCGGAAACTCGAAGAGCTTTGTTAGTGATACTTGCTAGATGGTCACTAACTTCCTCTCCTGTAATTTGCTGCAGAGAGAAAAAATCGTCTAAATCTTCTAGAAATGTTCCAGCTTCATTGTCTGATTCTTCGTCTTTTTCCTCCCTTAAAAAATCGTCAATATCTGACTCATTTTCCGTATCTGCTATCATTTGACTGGAACAGGCGCTAGTCACGTTAGTTGGCGCTTGTTTTCCACTGGAGCCGTTTTCATTTTCCCCTTTTTTCTGTTTCCTAGGGGATTCATTGTGATCATCGTCTGCTTTTTAGTCCCCTACCGGTTTACCGGAGGGGACTTTAGGTTTACCCTCCGTCCGTCTGTCCGTCCGTCCGTCTGTCCGTCCGTCCGTCTGTCCGTCTGTCAGTCCGTCAGTCCGTCCGTCCACAAAACTGGATCCCGCGATAACTTGAAAAGTACTGAAAATATTTTTATGAAACCTGGTATATGGATAGATGGCAGTATGGAGATTATGCACGTCTTTTTCTTTTCTTCCTATGTTGAAAATTCTGGTTGCTATGGCAACAAATAGGCTGAAAATATAGCAAATTTTACACATAAACTGGATCCAGGGATAACTTGGAAAGTACTGAAAATATTTTTATGAAACTTGGTATATGGATAGATGGCAGTATGGAGATTATGCACGTGTTTTTCTTTTCTTCCTATGTTGAAAATTCTTGTTGCTATGGCAACAAATAGGCTGAAAATATGGAAAATTTTACACATAAACTGGATCCAGGGATAACTTGAAAAGTACTGAAAATATTTTTATGAAACTTGGTATATGGATAGATGGCAGTATGGAGATTATGCACGTCTTTTTCTTTTCTTCCTATGTTGAAAATTCTGGTTGCTATGGCAACAAATAGGCTGAAAATATGGAAAATTTTACACATAAACTGGATCCAGGGATAACTTGGAAAGTACTGAAAATATTTTTATGAAACTTGGTATATGGATAGATGGCAGTATGGAGATTATGCACGTCTTTTTCTTTTCTTCCTATGTTGAAATTCTGGTTGCTATGGCAACAAATAGGCTGAAAATATGGAAAATTTTACACATAAACTGGATCCAGGGATAACTTGAAAAGTACTGAAAATATTTTTATGAAACTTGGTATATGGATAGATGGCAGTATGGAGATTATGCACGTCTTTTTCTTTTCTTCCTATGTTGAAAATTCTGGTTGCTATGGCAACAAATAGGCTGAAAATATGGCAAATTTTACACATAAACTGGATCCAGTGATAACGCAAAAAGTACTGAAAATATTTTTATGAAACTTGACATATGGGTAGATGGCAGTCTTGAGATTATGCATGTCTTTTTCTTTTCTTCCTATGTTGAAAATTCTGGTTGCTATGGCAACACATAGACTGAAAATATGGCAAATTTTACACATAAACTGAATCCAGTTATAACTCAAAAAGTACTGGAAATATTTTTATGAAACTTGACATATGGGTAGATAGCAGTCTTGAGATTATGCATGTCTTATCCGTTCTTCCTATTTTGATAAAATATCAGTTGCCTTGGCAACAAAATAGGCTTAAAACATGGCAAATATAACAACAAAGAGCTGAAAATTTTTTATGAAATTGCATCTTTAATTCAAGAGTTATCTCCTCTTTAAGAATTTTGCTTTTAAAATGTTATATTTTGGTAACAGGGATGTTTCAAAATTTTT